AGAGGGTTTATACAGGAATGAAAGGAGGGGGGGGTTAGGGAACATATATCAATCTGAGTTGTCATTGCTTGCAATACTTGTTGGGCAATGGCTTTTTAAAAATATATATATGATATTCTTAAAATGTAACTTTCCAACTTCTGCATACATTGCCTCAGTTCTGTTTGATAAGAATTGTGCTTCCAGCAGGTAAACCAAGTTAAATAGATAGTGGTAGCTGGAATGCTTAGAATGCCCATGGGTGGCTAGGAGGTATTTTTACTGCTATCTACATATCCCTAAGGTGCTGGGCCACCAAGTCCCAGAGCAGCTGTTGCCTGATGTAGCCTTAGTTGGAGAGCTGTCTGATCTGGCTGAGCTTGGGAAATTACTACAGCTGGTACTAGGCTGTGCCATCAGCTGTGAGAAGAAGCAAGGTATGTATGTGCAATTTGATAGTACAAGGGAGGGGATAATAAGGCTGCATAGACATTTATGCTAGGAGAACATCTTAGTAGTGAGTACTTTAAATGCTGGTATGGAGAGGCTAGCAAGCAGCTGACCAAAATGTGGTGTTGCTTTCCTATTTACAGTAAATTCTTAACTTGTTTGGAATTTCATCAGCACTAAGTTTAGAACTTAGAGAATCTGCTGATCCCTCTTTTCTCTTCTTTTAGTTTTCTTTTTCCCTTTCTTCCCCCCTCTGATTCCATAGGGATGTCTCCTGCTTAAAATCGAGACAAACTCTTTAAGCTAACAACTGATACTCTGCCCTACCCACTACTCTGTCTAGTTCTGTCCCCTATTGTAATGCTGTTCAACTATCATAGCATCATGATTTAAATAGAAGGGTGGTCTGGGGAGTTGAGTAAAGAAAGAAACTAACAAATTAAACCTTATTTTGAGCCCCTAACTTAATCTGTTTGTAGATTACATCCAGCAAATCATGACCTTGGAAGAATCTGTTCAGCATGTCGTTATGACAGCTATTCAAGAGGTAAGTATGGTTTTGGACTGCCATCTGGCATGAAAATAATTCAGCCTGGAACTGGAAGCCTTGTTTTGACTGCCCTTCATTCTCAAACCACAATCACACTACTTCCCAACCAGTTGTTTCACTACAGTTTTAATTAAAACGAATAGTGGTCAGATGCCAGAATAGTTTTGGTCTTCTCCAGGATGACCTTACAAAGTCTCTTAGTTAATTTATGTCTGTTGAAAAATAATGTGTACATGTAAGTAGATTCTACGCTGATGCTCTTTTCTCTTGCAGCTGTTGACCAAAGATTCATCAGACACATTAAGTTCAGAGACATACGGGAATTTCGACAGTCAGGTATCCCAATGAATTATATAACTGGGCGAACTAATGCATATTACTTACTCAAGAATGGAGAGCTCTGCCTTTTTCTGTGTGATGAGACAGAGGAGGCAAAGCATGCAATGGACAGAGTTACCTGAGTGTGCTTATGATCATGCAGTTCTTCCCTGATTCATTCCTCTGCTTGATTTACAGTCCCGAAAGTATTACTTCCTCAGTGATGACCTAGAGGAGACAGATGACATGCGGCAACATTGTCATGACTTGGAGCATCAGGTGGGTTCCTTTTGGAGGTCAGGGATGTTAACATTTCTACTTTTGCTTTCCAGATATAATTCCAAAATGTGCATCAGGTGCTTACAATGAGGTGCCATTGATCTTATGTAAGTTGAGCAGTTCTCAGTCTGACGGAAAATCTCAATGGCTTGCAGGGTCTGATAATTTAGCAGGCCTTGTCCATACTTGGTGCATTGTGGGAATGATTACTGATGGCTTGGGGAAGTTTTGATTAATACATCCCTAAACCATGGGTTTTGGCACCTCCCCTGCTCTAGGGACTTGAGTAATTGGTTCTGCCTTGGAGAAAGTAAAATGTGTCTCCCTCCCAAGCACCAGTTACTATCCTACATCTTGGGTTGAAGTGCAAATGTTTTGTTAATCGTGTGACTTGCTAAGCTGCATGGAACCAACTGGGTGTGGCTGCAGTGTGGTGGTGTATCCCTCCTCCTACCCTTCCCTCTTAGTGCTCAGCTGTTCTCTTTCTCCAATCTTTGTATAGAGAGCCAATCCAGCATGGAAGCTTTGAGGCTACCCTGAGTCTGGTAACTTTGTCAGGTGACCTGTAACCCAGGTTTGTTACTATGTAACGGAATCCATACATCCCATTAAACCCTAATTTGTTTTAACAAGCTGCTGTGTGATCTGGTTCATTCAAAGGGCCAATCCATAGACCATGGTAAGACCCATGGTAGCACAGCGGTTAGAGCACAGCCCCACAGTCAGGAGTTCCATCCTGATCAGCTCAAGGTTGACTCAGCCTTCCATTGTTCCAAGGCTGGTAAAATGAGGACCCAGATTGTTGGAGGGGGGGGCAATATGCTGACTCTCTGTAAACAGCTTAGAGAGGGCTGTAAAGCCCTGTAAAGCGGTATATAAGTCTAAGTGCTATTGCTATAGAAGCCATAATGATTGGGTTTATAAAAACAAACTATGTTATGTCCCAGCGTAGTCTGTGGCCACAGCCTGTACCTCTCACACTCATCCAATAGCAGAAATAAGCTCATCTTCTATAGAGCTACACTGTAACACTGGCTGTAATTGAGAAGTTATTTGAATTATGTAGTCCCGGAGCATAGCAATGGGTGGTGAGGGATCTGGAAAAAAGGTAGGTTGATCTCTCTCCCTTAAACCCCCTCCCACTTTACTCCTCCAAGGTGCTAAAGTGCCCCTGGGGATGCAGCCCCTTTCCAGAAGGTAAGTGCCCTCCCTTTCTCCAAGCTCTTGGCTTATGATGATTGAAATGCTTATCCAACAGCAAAGCCCCATGCCTGGTGGGCCTGCCTAACCTCCTTGCATGAGCATGTACAATGCTGACCAGTTAACAGCTGCTTGGGATTGGCTTGGGAGGCACACAGAATCGGGGGTGGGTGGGTGGGTGGGGGTGGCAGAGATTTCTGACCTCATATAACAATTTAGTTTTGACCACACAATTTCTTTAAGCGTCATACTTGCCTCTAAAGATTCTTGACCTATTTCAGTTTGAGGGGAAGTAATGATTGCAGCCTCTTCAGCCGGTGGTATTCAATCTTTGTAAAAGCCAAGGATGGTTGTCACAGGTGAATAAATGGCTAGGTTTCATACTGCTTAGACAGCACACAACTTTTTAGCAAGATTTCACTAGATTTCCTGAAGGAGAAAAACGGCCCTTCTTGCTTGCCTTATGCTATTGCTCTACAAGCTAGAAGTTCTAGCGTGAATAATAGAAGTCTTCCCAGAAGGTGGTGCAGGAGGAATGGTGTTCTTTTTGGGTATGGGATAGGAGATCTTGTGCATAGCACAGTTGTCTTTTGATCCTTTTTTGATTACCAGCTGTGGACTTTCCCAATGCACACAATTCAAGAATGCAGAGGCAAGTAACTATCTATAGCTCCACGGATGGGTGTGGCTAAGGAGAAGTTTGGGATTTCCATTTTTGAGCCTGGGCAGAGGGGTAATAGCAAACCTTGCCTGCCTCTAGTGCACTTACAGGAAGAGCTTAAACGGCTCAGTCTTTGAGGGCTTTAAATCCCCTTGGACTTTAGCTGTAAACTTTGATGGCCACAGTATTAGACCTTTGGGGCCTCATTTTTCCAAGCTGGTTGATACTTGCTCTCTTCCCCACCTCTAGATCTCCATTTTAATGGAGGAAAAAAACTTACTGGTGCTGGAGAATAAGACCCTGCGGGAGCAAAAGTGTTCTCTGGAGTCAGATACTGCTGGACTCACTGGCAAGAAGTTGCTTTTGCTTCAGTCACAGATAGAACAGCTGCAAGAAGAGAACTTCCGGTAGGGCAGGTACTTGTGGGGGAGGGATGGGAGGGGGCGTTGGTACTCTTTGCTAAACCACCAGGGCCCAGGAAGCTAGGTTTGTTTAACTGGGCGTCTTTGGGCCAGGCTGGAAAATGGTAGAGATGATGTTCGAGTTCGCTGCGAAGATCTGGAGAAGGAGGTGCAGGAGCTGCAACACCGTAACGAGGAGCTGACTAGCCTGGCAGAGGAAGCCCAATCCCTCAAAGATGAAATGGATGTACTTCGGTGAGTCTTTGGACACCTGAAAGCCATCACTCTGCTAAACAAATAATTCCCTCAACACTGTTCAACTATTACAAAGTCTGCACTACTATTACTGTTAATCTTTTCATCACTCCTTATCACCCATCCCCTCCTACTTGTGACTGTATGACTGTAACTTTGTCGCTTGTATCCTTACGATTTATATTGACTGTTTCCTAGTATGATTTGATTGCTTATTGTACCCTATGACTATCATTAACTGTCGTACCTTATGATTCTTGACTCTTGATGAATGTATCTTTTCTTTTATGTATACTGACAGTATTTGCACCAAGGCAAATTCCTTGTGTGTCCAACCACACTTGGCCAATAAAGAATTCTATTTTATTCTATTCTACCTTGGCTATAAGACAGAAAAATATTATTTCTGTAGGTGTATTTGTGGTCTGGGAAACAAGCCATGTTCTGGGATAGGTTGTAGGTCAAACCTGCACCTGCGTATTGGGTGCTACATATTTTTAGAATTTTCTGATTTTGGAAAATAAAAAAACAGCTTGGTAATTTAAAGGGCATTTTGGAATTGTGTAAGAAATACATTGTAAACAAAAATCCAGATGCTTTGTGACCTATATGTGCCCACAAACTGACAATGGCACATGAAGCTCTGGAATATAGTAGTTTGGATTAGCTGCAACTTGAATTTTAAGGAACTGCATATGAGAATATGGAATAAGCTTCTTATATAGAATCCACCTTGGGCTGACCTGTTAATGTATTTCTGTCAGCATTTATTGTGGCTGTATACATTTATAGGCTTCCTTCTCCCATGTTTGAATTTTAACTCGGCACAAAGTATGCCATAAAATACCTGTTGCAAATCTTGTGTTCCAAACTCTAGAAACCAAGTTTGTTTTTTAAGCTAGGTTGTCAGATGATCTTGTGTAGAACATTTTGGGTTTTCTTTTAATTCTTAAAACGCAGCATAGAAACCAGTTTTTCGGAGACTGTATATAAAATACATTTTCGTTAAATGCTGACTTTTGATACATTCAGACTTTGATTCGTATGCCTATAAATGCATTGGTTGGGGGCCCTTTCAGACTGAAAACCAAATTGGGAGATAGAACATAGAAACATTAGGAACAATATGAATGAGACAATTGTTTCCCATTGTTATTGTTTCAGTCTGTGGTACATACCAACCTTGTGCAGCAATATCATTGTTTTACACTGATGCTTCCAATAGCCAAGAGTGTTACTTTTCTGCATAAAAAGCAGGCAATTAAATGAGAACTGAAACTGGATTGTTATTAAAATATGTGAAACAACTGCCTGTTGTTGTTTTTTGCTACAGCCATTCATCAGACAGGGTGGGACGGCTGGAGGCCATGGTAGATTCTTACAAAAAGAAACTGGAAGACCTGGGGGACTTGCGTCGGCAGGTTCGCCTGCTAGAAGAGCGAAACACAGTTTATATGCAGCGCACCTGTGAGCTGGAGGAAGAGCTGCGGCGGGCCAATGCTGTACGTGCACAACTAGAAGCCCATAAAAGACAGGTATGGCGGTCCTATTTGATCAGCTGGCAGCCTTGCATTGGTAAGGCCAGCAAGCTGCTACGGCAGGGCTGCTGAGAAGCGAAAATGTTTGTTTGTTTGTTTGTTTGTTTTGAGGAGAAGTCATTTGACTAGAACTAAACCAATTATTGTATCTGTGCTGGGCCTTTAACTGTATCTTTGCTACTGCTTTGGGGACGGAATAGTTATCACAATTGCAGCAGTATAATTTTTGGCATATGAAAGCATTTAACGTAGACATACTCATGATTGGGAAGAACGGGCAGATCCTGCAAAACAGAAAAGAGGAGAAAACAGAAACCCCAAGCAGATCTCCGTTCTTCTCTTACTCAGGTGCAAGAGCTCCACAGCAAACATGGAGAGGAAGCCTTGAAGGCGGAGAAGTGGCAATTTGAGTATAAAAATCTGAAGGAGAAGTTTGAGGCGCTGGTAAAAGAAAAGGAGGTAATGCAGAATTGGTATTCAGGCTGGGTATTCCTCCCCTTGGCAGGGTGGCAAGGATAGAGAAATCTGGAGGGAAGGAGGTGTCTTTGGCAGGCTGGTTTTGTTGCTTCTTCAGTGAAGTAATTAAGGGGCTGATGTTTTAAGTAGTTTTGAGGGGAGTGTGACGTTAAGAGTGTTTCCACAGAGACTGATTGAAGAGCGGGAAGCCCTTCGGGAGGCTAATGAGGAACTGCGATGTGCTCAGGTGCAGCAGAAATTCCTAAACCAAGCAGGTGAGTTGGGAGAAAAACCTTCCTCTGTTCTCCGTATTACTTCGGGAGAAAAGTGGAGCTCTGATCTCTTGAACCAGTTCCTAATCACGGTGAGCAGCCACAGTGAAGGAAGGGAATCTGCCCTCATGTTGGCTTGATGTCCAGAATCAATAGCTCATAAAATTGGCTTGTTCAGTTTCAGCTTTGTTTTATAAATCAGCAATTATGGTCTATAAAGTATATCATTAATGGTTTAGCTTGTATAATTCAACCAGTAATGGTTTATTCAGTAAATTTAGTAAATTGTAATCTATTTACTACGTCACTCAAGTATTCAAAGAGATAATCCTGTTGTATCTGCAGTGAAGAAGATGGGATATTTACGATATGAGGTGTCTTAAGAAAGAGATTTCCCCTTCTCATGACATTAGTATTTAGGGGCATTTAGAGAAGTATGAACACATATGCTTGATCTGGTTACTGAATTAAGCCATTTTTTTTCTGGATATGTACAATATTGTAGCATCAATTAAGACCCATGGTGGCACAGTGGTTAGAATGCAGTACTGCAGGCTAACTCACTGCTCGCTCCAGGAGTTCAATCTTGACCCGCTCAAGGTTGACTCAGCTTTCCAAAGTCAGTAAAATGAGGAGCCAGATTGTTGGGGGCAATATGCTGACTCTGTAAACCGCTTAGAAGGCTGTAAAGCACTGTGAAGTGGTATGTAAGTCTAAGTGCTATTGCTATCAATTAACCACACCAAAGACTCAATTCACTAAACACTAAAACTAAGCTAGCTAACCAAGTTTTGCTATCATGTAAATGGGACAATTTAGTTCTTTGCATGTTGGGGAAGATGACCAATTTAGTCATCTAAACTTAAGTAAACCTTTTCCCAACTTGCATTTCTTCCTCGTTCATTCTGAGAAATACCTCCTACATTAGAGCGTTCTTAATATTGCTATACCATATAACTGCACGGATATAGATGTAGTGCAGGGTTGTTAAACTCACGGCCCATGGGCCGGATGCATCATGCGCTGCCCATGCCACGCCCGGTTTAGTGAAGGGGAAAAAGTCCCTATACATCACTTGACAACACTGTGACAATGCAAGTTTGACACCCCTGATGTAGTGTATTTTAGTCAAGTGTCAGGATTCCAGCAATCGCTCTAATTAAATCATGATTCTCAAGCCAAACTTCAAAAAAACCCTCAAAGGGTTCATTAGAGATGACATACAGGGCAGTGCCAGGATGTCGCCTCTAATTAATCCTTTGAAGTTTTTTGAAGTTTGGCTTGAGAATCATGATTTAATTAGAGTGATTGCTGGAATCCTGATAGCAAGCCAATGCTGGCGTACATAATTTACAGTCACCTGTGACCCTGTTTCCCCCCTCCCTCCTGGTGTCTCATAAACCAGATTCTCCAATTGAGCACATTCACAAGCTGGGTGTCATCATTCACATTCTCCAATTAAATATATTTGCGGGCAAAAATTCTGGTATTTTAGTTACAGTCTTTTAAAGATAAGAATTGGAATGTACTTTCGCTTTCAACTGTACTTCCAGATTTTGTTCCTCCTCCCTTCCTTTTTTATGGCAACTACTAAAACAGGCATAGGAATGTTTTATGAGTTGACATTCGGCTCCTCTCACTTTTTGAAGGTGACTTTTATAAACCAAACAAATTGAGTGCAGATGTAGAATTTAGGCAGGGGTGGGATTAAAAATTTTTAACAACCGGTTCTGTGGGTGTGGCTTAGTTGGTGGGCGTGGCTTGGTGGTCATGTTATTGGCTGGGTGTGGCCAACTCAATATCACACACATCGAGGCACGCCTCTCTTCGCCTGGCCTCATGACTGTGGGGATGCTGCAACAGTCGTAAGTGTGAAAAATGGTCATAAGTCACTTTTTTCAGTGCCATTGTAACTTTGAATGATCACTCCACACAAGCAAAGTACCAGCAAAGGAAGGAAAAATAACTCCAGAGACATTCCTGAGACAGGAAGTCTGGTCTTGCCAAGAATGTAATAAGGGTTAGCGGAGAGGTAGTTTCTGTAAGCAACACCAGAATGTTTCCTTCCTCCCTTCCTTACAGGATTAGGCCAGTAATTTCTTCTAACAACCAGTTCTCCGAACTGCTTAAATTGTTAACAACCGGTTCTAGCGAATAGATGCAAATTGGTAAAAACCCACCCCTGAATTTAGGGTTGCAAAAAACCCCTAGGCTTGGTTGGATTTTCTGCATGGAATCTTGCTATAAGGCGATCAGCCTGGACGTTCCTACTCTTTACCCAAGATACCTCTGATAATGGGTAGCCCTTCCACTTGATTAAGTATTGGAGTTGTCTCCTGTGCCACTTCGAATCAAGGATTCTCTGCACCTCATAATGGGTTTGGCCTCCTATGACCACAGAAACTTGGGGCTCACGAGGTAGGGGCCTCAGGGTTGATCTGACCACAGGTTTTAAGAGGCTACTATGGAATACCGGGTGTATCTTCCCTAGTAATCGAGGCAATTTCAACTGCACCATGACTGGGTTAGTAATCTTTACTATGGGGAATGGTCCCAAAAGCCCCAGTTTCTTGCTTGCTAGGGAGTTAAACCCGGTATTCCATAATAGCACTGCCCTGTATGTTGCCTCTAATTAATCCTTTGAAGTTTTTTGAAGTTTGGCTCGAGAATCATGGTTTGTATAAGGTTGAACTTTTACCTGGTAATTGATAATGCCCCTCCCCAATACTCCTTTTTTTAAAAAATAAATAAAAACTAATGTTTGTTCCCTTCCTAATTGCAGATGCTATATTGGAAGACATTTCTTCTCCAATGGATAATTTAGCAGCTGAAATCATGCCAGCAGAATTAAAGTAAAGTACTGGGTTTTTTTTATTATGTAAAATATGATTATTTAGTCCGTCCTGATATCTTTTGATAATGATGGTTTTAATAATTATTATCAATAAGGATAATACTAAAACGTTATCAAATTGGGGGCCTTTTCTTTGAAATAAGGGCAAATGCCTCCAGATTCTAGTAAGGATTAGAGGTTTAACATTATTAATTCATTATAATTGGCTTTTTTCATCAGCCAAAGAGCCAGAGAGAAGATCCACACTGGGAAGTATGCCAGATGAATTGATTTTATTCTTCCTGGTGCAGTGAATAAGAAGCAGATGCTCTCTGGCTTGCTTTCCAAACTAGTACAGGTAGTCCTTGTCTAGCGACCACAGTTGAAACCAGCAACTTTTTTTTTAAAGTGAAGCAGTCACTAAGTGAAATCCCAACTATGCTTATGATCCTACTTCAGCTTTCCTTTACTTTGCAGACCTACGAAGGTTGCAAATAACAAGTATTGGCTGTAAAAGTACTTTTTCACCACAGCTGTAAATGGCCCCTAAACAAGGCAGTCACTAAGTGAAGACTATGGTACCTGTTGATCCCAAGGATGCCATTAATTCCTTGGTCATCATTCATGGCCATCTGTCACAGTGTGGATTTTTGCCAATTCCTCGTGCATTTAAATGCATTTTAGAAGCAGTACAGGTAGTCCTCGACTTACGACTACAAATCAGCCCAACATTTCTGTTGTTAAATGAGACATTTGTGAAGCGAGTTTTGCCCCGTTTTACAACTGTACTTGCCTCAATTGTGAAGTGAATCACTGAAGTTGATAAGTTAGTAAACTGGTTGTTAAGTGAATCTGGCTTCCCCATTGACTTTGCTTGTCAGAAGGTCGCAAATGGTGATCACATGATCTTGGGAGACACAGCAACGGTCATAAATATGACCCAGTTGCCCAATATCTGGATTTTGATTATATGATCATGGGGATGCTGCAAAGGTCATAACTGAAAAATGATCATGTCACTTTTTTCAGTGCTCTTGTAACTTTGGTCACTAAATGAACAGCTGTAAATTGAGGATTATCTGTAATCTATTTTGTTTTCTGCTGTCATCGGGTCATGAAGAATTGAAAGCAGGTGAAGCCCTGAGAGCAATAATCTGGAATAAGAGGGTTGAATAAGGATTGTACTGAAACAAAACATTTTCCTCACGAGCCAGAATTCCAGATAAATCTGATCTTCCTTCTTCAGTAATCCTGAAACTGGGTTTTTTGTCCCCCAGGGAGACCATCGTACGGCTGCAGCATGAGAATAAGATGTTATGTGCTCAGGAGGTATCATACCGGCAGCAACAGGCTGAATTGCAAGGACTTCTGGAAGAATCAAACCGCAGTAAAAACCAGTTAGAGGCACAGCAAAGGTATGCAGGAGAGCTGGAAAGTTTCTCATTTCCTGCAAGGAAATCTATTTTTTTATTTATTTAATCCTGGGCAGAGGTTGAAGAAATTTTCACACTTTATTATTGAAAGAGAAGCCATCAGGCCATATAGGGCAGGGGTGTGAAACTCGCATCAATCATGTGATGTGTCGCAACTTTTCCCCCCTTCACTAAACCAGGCCTGGCCGTGGCCAGCGCATGGCGCATCTGGCCTGCAGCGTGTGAGCTTGACAGCCCTGATGTAGGGGTTTCCCTTGGGGTATGTAAAGCTTCTCAAATTGGCAGTTTTAACATAGTGCTTTGTCCTGGTTAGTGTTTTGAAGCTCATTGATAATTGGTTTATTATTTCAATCCTGAGGAGCAACATTTTAGCTTTTATATTTAAATAAGGGGTGAGGGTCTTGAGCTTGAAGCATCCTGTGCCTGATGCAATATGAAGATAATGTTAGTGAATTGTCTTATACTTCTTCCATTTTTAAACAGCAATGGCGATTTTCTCTGTTTGCGCTGGAGTCCCTCAGAAATGGAAAATAGCCTTGGCTATTAGTTTCTTTAATTCACCCCACTCCCATCCATATACTACAAACTGAAAAATAATATGCAACTGGCAGGGGTTGGATCCGACAGGGTTAACTACCAGTTCAGTCATTTACAAGGTTCGGTGATTTATGATGTGCCTGCATGCTGAGAGCTGCGCACCTGAAAATTGTCATCAGCATGCTGGGAGAAGCAGCCTTTCAAAAAGCCCTTTTTTCCTGCTTTATTAACTGCAGCTGTGCCTCGCACAACAGCTGAAGTTGAAAAAATCAGGAAATAAAGATCAGGTAAGAGCCCGGGTGGGCAAAAACATCAGCAGACATAGAACCGGTTCTATGTCTGCTGCTCTTCAGAGCTACCGGTTCTACAGAGGTGGACAGAACCGGTAGAAACCCACCCTGGCAACTGGGAATTACAGAGAATTATAAGGCCTTATAACTCAAGATTTCAAAAGATTTCTTCTAAGCAGTGGAGCAGTGCTTTTGTAATTTAAGAAAGTGAACGTTTATGATTGCAGATTAAGCTGTAGAGAAACTATAGTCCCGAGTTGCACAGGGCTGTTTTGGTAGTTTTCTGCAGTTGGGGGAGGACTTAGTAAGATCTTAGTAGTTTCAGAAACAGCCATGAATCATAAAAGTTTGAAAGTTCCACTGTTTTATGATAGTAAATTCTTCCTGGATGAAAAAGGGCTCAGGCAATCTGGTTGCACAAAACTGCCATTTTGAGAATTAGGAATTGGATGGAGTTTTTTTCAAGTTTAACATTTAATCAGTTATAGGATCATATGGGGTTCAATCTTCTTCCCATGATTTGTTTGGTTTTGGCCTATTATGTTGTACAAAGCAATTTGTTCAACATGGTACCGTATTTGCCGGCGTATAAGACGACTTTTTTGCCCTGAAAAACATGCCTCCAAGTGGGGGGGTCGTCTTATACGGCGAGTATATAACAAAGGTCGTCTTATACGCCAGCAAATACGTTGTCACTCGGTGCAAGAGCGACGGGGGCGGAGCTCCGCAACTTGCGAAGCCCCTTCAAGCCCAGCCGGAGTCTCTCTTCCTCCTCCTCCCCCACCCACACACCCACCCACTCCGCTCGTGCGAGCGGACAGGCAGGCTCCAGGCTTTGCCCCCATCCCTCACCTCCTTCCATCCCCCTCCACCCCCCCCCCCCAGTGGCAGAAACTTCGCCGCACGTGGGGACGAGTGGAGGGGGTGGGAGAGCAGCGACGCAGCTCAAAGCTGAGAAAGCGCCATCCTTGCTTTTGTGCTTCGGGAAGAGTTCGTGTTTTTTGTTTTTTTGTTTTTCTCCCATTCCTGGGAGAAAAACAAAAAAACAAAAAACACGAACTCTT